ATGGCGCACACTTTGGATAAATACCTCTACACTGTACATTTGCCAAGAGAGCTTCTAAGATCAGCTCTGTAAATGTCATGATCCTTAATGCTATTGTGGTATAACTGAAGAGCGTTCCTTGAGCCCATTTGGCTGGGCTGACTAGCGCACTTTGTTTTCCCAGGAGAAGAAAGCAGAGTAGTAAACCATTTTTGCAGAATGTCATTCTCCCACAACAGTTTATGAAAGAAACATCTGTGACAAGAATCTTTAATGCTTTTCTCAAAGCCAAGCTGACAGTAAAAGAGCATTGCTAAAAGTGGCAAATCAATCCCATTCCACTCCTTCTAGAGCAGGACACCTAATTTGCTATGTATCACATGTATTTTCTTCGCATGTGCTGAGAGGCTGTGACATTGATGTGGTGGCTGTGGTCCAAGCTTCTGTTGAATAAACACTTTGGCCATATAGCAGGCACATTGGCATGTTTAGCAATGTCTGCTGTCCAGTGTTGAGTTTACTTCACCTCAGGGAAAAGTTTGTTTAATTTCTAGATTGCAATTTGGGGATAAAAACGGTATCTTTGAAGGCTGATTTGAAAACCTTGAGGGATTTTTAAACTTAGCTTGCTTAGTGAGGGGTTTTGTACTACCTGGAAACACAGACATGTGAGACAGAAGAAAGTAACAACAAATACAGTTCAGCAGCTAAAAATTATTTCATTACTGGGCTTGTGTTGATTGTGGTATAAAAATAAGATGATTCAGCCAAAACCAGCCTCAAAAAAATATATCTAGACCTGAGAGAATGATTTTTATATTTAGTTAGTTAAAACATCTGAAAGCTTTTACTGACATTGGACAATGAATCAAAGCTCTGGTGAGTGTGTGCTGAGGAAACTGAGAGCTCAGCTGTGAATCAGAAGGATCTTTCTTAAGTTCCTGTTGTTTTTTTTTAAAGATGCAACACTACTGAAAGTTTTGATTATCCCCAAATTAAAGTAAATCCTTAAATAAACTTCTGGCGTTTGCTGCATTTATATTATTCTATTTTGAAGCTTTTTGCAAAAGAAAGTAAGGTAGAAAGGGGATGACAACTTTTGGCGTGGCTCATATACACCATAGCATTCTTCTTTCGTGTAAGGATGTTAAATGTAATTCCTCTCTTGTCACCCTTTTGGCATGAACACATGGGCCAAGCCATGCAGTTATTCAGCACTATCAGATCTCCCTCTGAATCCTGTGGAAGTTCTGGCTGAGACTGGAGTTCCCAGTGTAATGAGATGGATCTAGGTAGAGAACTGACAGCTCCAAGAACCCTTCCAGACAAAGAGATGGGTATCCCCACATCTGTAAGCTGAGTGAGGTTACAGGCTGGAGTGACAGGGCTGTAGTGAGAACACCCACAGTGCATAACAATGGCAGATGGCTTGTACCTCACTCATTGCCAGGGGAACGATGGTAAAACTGCTGGAACACAACCTTAGAACCCAAATTTTGCACTTAAAATAAGGAAGCCCTACAGAGGGCAGCCATAAAAATGTCTTATGTGCAGGGAGTTTTCTGAATTCAGGCTCTGGCACTGGGGCTGCTGTACATTATAAAGCTGAGAAAGTTCCAAGTTCCAAGGAGCCTTTATTCCGTCGGTTGCCATGGATAACACTTGTTTGTATACATCTTTAAAGACAAAGGAGTGGAATTGCATAAATAGAGGGACCGGAATTCAGAATACATTCCAAAGAGATATAATTGGCATCTCCATAGCTGTTCAATTAGTGGCACTTGATCAGATAACCAAGGCAGTCAAAGTTCTCCTGAGTGTCCCTGTCAAAGTCAGCTCAGTGACTGAGGGCAGAGTGGAAGGGTGTGGATGAAACTCGAACACTAATAATATTTAGAATGATAATTCACAGCACCATGGAAAAACAGAAGACAGACTCACCCTGAGGCCATGTGAATGGAAAGCAAGGGTAGTTTCCAAAGCAAAAGGCAGACCTGAAAGATTTAATCCCAATGAGAACAAGCCACCTGTTCTGCTAAATGAATTTCCTTCCCATTCTTCATACCACCTGCCTTATGCAGGGGAGAAGGATTTCATGTCTTCAGGAGGCACAATTCTGCTCTCTTTTTTTTTTTCAGAAAAAAAGTGCTTCCACACAGTGAGAAATGTCCCTTGCAATTTTCAAGCTCATTTGAACTTGAAAATACTCTCATCTGACTTCAATGGGACAAATCTTCAGTAGGGCACGCTTGGCTGGGCTGGATGCTTGTTGAGAAAACCAGTCTGCAACCACCTGTCGGCTGCTGGGTCCTTTTGTGAACATTCAGCTCTTTGAGAATAGGACCCTGTCTCTGCATCTGTACAGCTCCGAGCACATTCTGTCCTTGTGGAAGTGTGGAGCTTCAGACACTACCCAAAACACATGATTTTTTTAAACATTGCAATAGATGCAATAATACACAGGCAAGTAAACAAATCCCTGCCAGATTAACTCAGAGCCCTGAATTTGCCCAGAGCACAATATAAGCAGGTAGTTTGAACACTACTGGGATTTTTAAAGCATATGTAAATGGTGCAGTAGATAACAAACTGCTTTTTTTAAACTTGCTTCTCCTTTCCTTTTGTGTCCTCCCATATAGTCAATATCCAAAACATCAAAACACAATTTCGTTTTATTTTTCAGAGTTCATTTACTTACACTCAAAGGCTTTTGTTACAAAGAACAAAGCACATGTGTCTAACAGTTTGACCCTTCCTCCATCCTTCCCTAGGGGCTGCAATTAAACTTTCATTTAAGTAGTTATTTGGTGTGTGGGATACTATGCTAAAATACTTTGAATCAGTGGTTTTTGTAAGGCCTCCAGCTGCTCTGTCTACAGCACCCAGTTACTCTTCTGATCATATTGGAAAGACTTTGCTAATGTTGGGCATGCTTGGGAGGAGTGATTATTTAGATAGAAGAAATGAAAATAGAGAAAGGACTCTTTTTAGGGAAAGGCACTGACTGCAAAGGACAACTGGAGTGTGTATTATGTGTCTGTCCATTTCTTGCCCATCATTTTGTTTCTGCCATGGGAATACATCAAAATATTGGCTTCTTGTGAATAAGGCACTTATTCATGACTTAGGACCTTGTAAATTCCTTATGTGATTGTGTTAAAATGTCCTTCCATTTCCCATGCTCATACTAGATTTTTATGTGTGCCAGCACATTCTTCCGGCCCCTTCCTCTGGTGCCACTTTACATGCACAAAAACAGAAAAATTGTTTTCCTAAAAAAAATTGCATTCTGAAAAAAAATGGTTGGTTGATTTACAGCAAAAGAAGGAAGAGGCCTCTTGCTCCCACCTATACCACCTCTTGTCCCCTTGTCTTTGCCATTATTTTCCACGTTTTGTAAGAAACAATAATCATCTTTATTTCTGAATTATTTTGGAGTTGTTCCCCTTCCCTCACTGCACCCTGCCCCAGTTTGGTTGATTTTCTTTCTCATCTCATTCATTTCCTTGAAAGCATTCACACCAGACCAGTTTCATCCACTAGCCTGTGGTTGTAAACCAGATTCCTCTGGAGAAAACTAAGCCTAAAGCCATATGCCGGCACCAAAGTGGTACTTGAGTCACAACCAGGAGGGCTGCACCATCAGCCCTCTTCCAGCACACAGATAATACATTCCTTACAGAAAATTTTACATCACATGTGCAGTGGAGGCATTCAAGCCAGAGGTCCAAACTCTATTTAATTAAAAATAAGTCCTGTGAACCACATGAAATGGAGTTGTAAGGAGCCTAAGCACGTATCAATCCAGTTTACAAGGTCTGTTTCTATTGCAGTGAATTGCAGGCTAATTTAATGTCTATTTTTTGTAACGTCTGCCAAGTCTGCAGCCTCCCTTTCAGTGGGATCACTAAGAATCTCTGTGCCCTTTAAGGTTATTTTCACAAAGTTTGAGACTTCTTCTCTACAGGTTCACAGTTTCTGGAAGGATGAAATACCAATATTTTCATACAAGCTGCATTTCTTCAGAAATCTAGCTAGAACTCATGCCACTCATGTTGAGATATAAATCCCTGTCTGCACAGCAATACCAATAACAGTTCTTCCCAATTAAGCCAAAATGTTTTTGTGTTGACATTGTAGTTGTCAGCTCATATGTTTCCACCAAATGTGCATTCTAGGACTAAAATGAAACTGAATTTAGAATATTCTAAACTTTTGGGGGCGGGGCAGCCTTTTGAATCTTGTATGTGCATTTCATGAAGGGCTTAATCAAAACTCAATCAATTCCCACCTCACCAAGTTTAGAAAGGGATTAAAATCCAGTACCAGATTTGGATCTGAATTTTGTGCCTGGGGGCTCATTTCTGTTATCAATTAGCTGTTGCTCTTGTGATGTATCAAAAGGCAGTAGCATATAGGCTGTTGTTTAGAGATGTACATAATGTAGCTTTAAATTTCATTGGGAAACTAAACAAAACCTCTGGCCTTAGGGCTGCATGTTCAAATGCTACAGTCCCATAGTGCATTACACCAGTCAACACTTCTTTTCAAATACCACCCGCATAACAATTAACCTCACTTCAACCTTGAGGTCTCTGATTAGTGATGGCCTATTGTTTAAGTTCCATTAACATAGCCCCTGTGTTGCCCTATTCTCACTCAAATGGACTAATCAAATCAGTCACCAAGGACTTAAGCTCAGGGTCCAACTTCTTTAGTAGGCAGCAATTTTCAATTTAAGTAGAATGGTGGATGTCATCAACACAGTCACAATTAGTATAGCTCTGACATGGAAAACATTCTTAATGATCCCAAATTTGTGAAATATCAAGGGCCCCAGCAACTTGCAATATGAGAATTTCTATGTATAATAGAAAAATTACAATATCAATAGGGTAGTCGATGCATTACCTTGTACCAGACAAGGCTCTGAAAGGACAAACCTCAATCAGATTCCATTTAATTTCAAGAAGCAAATGGTGTTTTGAACCAGTAGAAATAAAAACATGTTACGGCATTCATAAAATGTTATTTTTTGCTACCCACACCATATTTATTATGCAAAAAAGGAAAGAATTGTTTATTTTTCCAAATCCAGTTACAAAGCTGTTATTCTTGACATTTTTCTTACTTGGATTACACAACTATGTTTTCATTCACATTAGCTGATACTTGCTCTTTCAATCATTTGGAATTTAAAATGGTCTAGTATTATTTCTTTGGATTATTTTTAACACCATCTTCTATTTCTGTCAAGGTACTGGATGACTGGAGCACAAACCTCTAAGAAGATATAGTGCAAAAGTCATGGAAAATATTTCACTGGTAGAATTCAGGGCCAAATCTCCAAAGGCCCAATATGCATGTAATGAGAGTTACTGCTTCAGCACAGATACCCATGGTGCACAGGCAAGGAACTCTTTTATTTTCATGCACACGCAGTTACTGCATGAGCAGTACATATCTTTTCCAACAATTCAGATCTTGCTCTTCTCTGAATAAGCAGCAAGAAGGCAAAGTGGGAAGCCTCTGGCCACTGAGCAGGAGACTGAGGACATCAAGGACTTTCAAAATGGGGCCTTTGTGGCAGGTATGATTTTGCTGTGATTACAACTGGTAATTCCTACCTAATCAAAAAGAACTTTTTTTTTTTTTTTCTCTTGCCATCTTTTTTTTCTTGCCAAATTGTTTCAGTTTTCTTAGTGTAATACTTTTTCAGACCATAGTGGAATCATAGTGTCTCATCTCCTCAGAATATGATGAAGTTGCTAGATAATGTTCACACGTAGCTTTTCTTTTATGATCAGCTAAAACACTGTGCACAGAATAAACACTGCCAGACACATTAAGTGTTTTATTTTTCTGCTTCAGAGAACAAAATTTGGCAGAAATATTCCCTAATTTAAATCCAGCTTTTGTCTGCCTCATTGCTTTACACACCATGTAGTGAAAGAACTGGCTTCACACTGCTCCCACACCACCAGTCCATCTGACTGACAATAGATCCAATCTGCATTACATGGGAGGCCATGTGAGTGGTCTATTCTGCTCCTCCATCTCCATCGACAGCTGGAACTGGACTTGGAGCAAATACCAGGAGAATTTGCATGATAGTCCATTTGGAGCACATATGCTATAAATTCACCATTGCTGCAAAATGGCAAGCCATAGGCCTCTCCTACCCAGAAGTTACTTGAATTGAAATTAAAACCAATTTAGTCTAAACCAGAATGAACTTCTGCGTGAATGCTCATAATAGTTTAAAATCATCTCACTTCAGTCTATCCAGCACCACTGGCTTTCCCTAACAGCCAATTAACCAAGTGCAGGAGAAGCACAGACACTGCCAAGCTGTCTCCATCTTTAACTGAAGTCACTTTAAAGCCCACCTTTAGCCCCATCACCGTGGGGGCTCTGCCTTGCAGGCTGGGGCTGTTCTGCCACACCTGTCATTCAGAACCGGGGGTATTCTCTCACAATTCCTCAATTCTTGCTAGAGTTACCCACAGCAGTCATTGCCTCCTCTTTGGAGGGCTCCAGAAGTGGCACCACACTTGCCCAGCACTGGGTCAGGTTTGCTCCTCGCAGTCCCTCAGTGAAGGCGCTGGGGCAGCAGCTTCTGGAGAGGCAAAGGCTACACACATTCTCCAGCCATTGTTTTGGTCACGTTACCCCTGGGCACTGACCCCCTGCCTGCACCACCTCCTGTTGCTCTTTTGTTCAAGAGAAAACTTGTCATTTAGAGGCTGATTATTAGTTTTCTTTTCTCTTCCCCACCCGGAGTCTCCCTTTTACTGGATCATCATCAGTTTTAGAAGAGTTGCCCCTTTCTAAAGAAAACAAAACAGAATAAACAACCTCTTTCCAGTCCCTGCCAGAGCTCTCTTCTTTTCACCAACATCCATTTTCTCCCAAACAAAATGAAAGGACAGGGAGAAAAAAGACAGCTTCTTCCCTCCCTCCGCAATGAAACAACAAAGAGCACAAACAAAATTAAAATTAGGCATTTAAGCTGATTTTCGCCACTTAACTTTTGACATGTTTTTGCAAATTTCGTTCAAGTCTCCTCTGAAGATTCAGCCAGTGAAACCCACTGTATCAAGTGGTGTTTCCAAGCCTTTTTCACATAACTTCCGTGAGACAGCCCAAGTGTTGTTTGGAGTGGCAAAGGCACCTTTCTGCTAGCATGAAAATCGGAGGCTATGGCACAACAAAGTATCTGTACTTTGGGGAGAAATCAAGGTTTAAATGCATAAGTTTTCATCTCTATATACCTCTGAAAACATTTGGGGTCTGATACACTCAAATTCACTCTGCAGAAGGATCTCCAGGTGGGTGATTTATTAGAAGCTAAAGCCATTACCCAAAATTTCTGTTCTATTTTACGCCCATGTAGCGTCGGTTCAGCTTCATTGTCTTGCTTTGAGAAGTAATTGTTTTTCCTCTTCAGAAATATATTTTTCTTCCAGTAAGTCTGCATCATATTCATCATCTGGAATGTATTGGGAGCGCTGCACTGGGCTTAGCTTGCAGCTGCTCCCAATCATCTGGGATGTGCTCAGAGCCGACCTGCGAGAGCCTCAGCGGGCGAGGCTGGGACCGCCGGCCCTGCCACCACTCCTCCTGCCCATCCTTGCTCCCGGGACTCTGCCGCTCTCTGCTTCATTTCCAGGTGTAATTCAAAATGCCTTTTTTGATCCACAGAGCCATTCACGGTTTGAGAGCTTGTATTTCTTCGAGACGGTTTCTCTGTTTCAACATCATGTCTCACCTGGCAGCCAAGATTGGCTGCAGTTGCATGAGATGAATAGTAATGTTGACTCTGTAAAATACATGAGAGTCTGAAGAATGACAGGCCATTCTCAGTGGATGTACAGCAACAGAGCAATATAAATATGGGGAGTGTCTTGTTTCACAGAGGAGAAAAGAAAGGATTTATTTCCATTGGAAAAAATTAATATTCTTCATATTTTCATAAGAATGTCATAAAGTGCAACCACTCCCCTGAAAATATTCTTCAGTAGAATTGCTAAGAACTGTGCTCATATTTGTGTTGTGGGTTACACCAGCAGTAGTTTCTTTTCCTTAGAAGCTGTTTGGTTTTTATTGGTCTCACTTAGATTTGAAAAACCCTAAAGAAAAAAAAAAAATCACACATACATGAAACTCATGAGATGTTACCACCATAGGAAGTCATGCAAATAGAATATTGACTACTGGAAAAAAAAAATTAGAATTTAATTTACTTCAGGAATTAATTTAATACAACAACAACAAAAAAATACGGTATGTGCTAGTCAGGTGCTGCACATTTCTTCAAAAGAAACTGGTCTAAGCAGATCCATAAGGGTATTTCTCCATGGCTTTGCAATCATCCAGCTTCTCTTGGGGATTTATCTCTGGTTTCACAGCCTACCTAACTGAGGCAAGGCAAAGATGTTGCTGTAGCACACTCAAGAGATGCCTCCTTCTTTATAACCCCAGTGCCTTCTACCTCCAGCCAACATCCCCTTTGCCTTTCCAAAGAGCACCCAGGTCTCTCCACACGCCCTTGTTCTCTTCTCCCCAATTCCCACCTTCCCACTGCTCACCTTGAGGTCTCACCTTTGTTGTTGATGTGGCAGCCAGCCAAGGATCCTAACTAACTAAGAGAAAAGTACTTTTCTTTGGCTTAACCAAACTAAATGTGTTGAGGTTAAATTAGCCGGCTGAGTTACAAAATACATAATATTGTTGATGGCTGTGATTTTACAGCAGGTCAAGAAATATTCTGTTGTTTCCCTATAGATGAAAGGTCTTCATTACTCTGTCTTCTTGACCTAGAAGAAAAATTCATGGCTATAAGAAAAATATTTAGTAGAGGACTTAAGAGCATTTCAGAAACAGAGGACAAATGGAAAACTAATAGCTTTCTCTATTTTATTTTTTTTTAAATAAAACACTTTTAAAGTAAAATGGTGTGCTTTTTATGCTGGTAACAAGCTGTCATATCACTTCACTTGGGGTCTTGTTTGGAACTGTCCAAGCTGCTCATAGCCCTGTGTAGGAAACAGTTCAAGCCAGCCCCTGAGTTGTATAATAAGCTGTGCCCATTGCAATAGTTTCAGCAGCATTAAGTCAGCTCAGCCAAGATAACTGAACATAAGAAAATACCATTTTTTCCTCACTTAGACAAGACTTGAGTGGAAAGGGAGAGTGAACCCTTAGCTCTACATACAGCAAGTGGATAGGAAACCATCTGCTCCACCGCTGCTGGCTTTCCTGAGCCCAGGGACCTGAGAGATGCCCCAGGCTCCTCAGCAGCAGTTGCTAAGGAAACATTTTAGGGAACCTTTTTCATAAATTCATAGTAATCTCCATTTCTCAAATGTCAAGGCTAATGACTCACCCTTTGATTGCAAATGGGATTTACTACCATAGAATTGCTGGCAGCCTTCAAAGCTAAATTGTATTTGTCAGCATTTGAAGACTTTTAGTACATTGGTTACCACTGCTCCCCTTGAGTAAGTAGAAAATGTAGATACATGAATATCTGGCAGAATTCCCTCAGATATATTTCAACCCTTTCCTAAGTTTCCACACAGGAAAGAAGACAGGTATTGGTGTCTGAAGAGCTCCCACAGCAGGGAATCCCCTCAGCAAAGCCTGTGCATTGGGGGTTTCTTGCCTGAGGTGCAGCCAGCCTTCTCCTGGGGAGCACAGACCCCAGCAGAGGGGAGCTGGGACCAGCTGAAAGCTGTCTCTGGGGGTGACCAGTACAGACATGCACCCTGCCTTTCCCCCAGGGGTTACTTCTGCTTGAAGGCAGCTGGATACATCCATGGATTTTCCACAAGTCACACATGAATCCGTGTCCTTGGTTTCCACCGATTGATCGCTCAGGCAGTCTGCAGCTTTACCCCTCGTGCATTTTGGGCACCACCTGAAACAAGATCTGACACTACAATATTTTGTGCCTTCACAATTCTTTTTCTGCCAAGTGCCAAGTTTGCAAATGCACCCTGAGACTTCTTTCTTCAAAGTATTTGAGAAGTTATCAACAAACCAAACTTTACTGATGCTATCTATTGCTTTGAAGGCAATACATGTTTAGAACAAGATTCTCTCTCAAGTGATACAGACTTCACTCCAGATGGATCTACTTCCAAGTTAAAAGCTTGTAGCCCAGAATACAATTTCAAAGGTAAATATATTATCTCCTAGTACTTTTAAAAATGCATAAAAGAAGCACAAATAAATACAGACCTAACCTCAAACTTTCTGCAAATTAATTTTTGGGAACACTTCACATTTATATAAATGCATATTAAAAATCTATTTGAACAATTGGTTCATACTGCATTTAACACATTTCTACCTTATATAAAAGCTACAGAAATAATGCACTTTGAATGGATTAATATTATAAATTACTGTTACTCATGGAAATCCCTTCTCTCTGGAATTGTCAGTGACGGCTGTATGGAAGATACTGATGAGACCAACTTGTTGTCAGTAGCATCACATTGTTACGGACACATTCCTTGAAATAAAATCAGTATCCACCCATTTAGGAACTCAATTCACTTAAAACATACAGAAATTCCTTCAGAGGAACACTTGGATGTTATTTTCAAGTGTTTCCTGGTCACCTTGAACACCATTGTCCAAAACAGGCAGATGGAGTAAACACTTATCCAACTTTTGCTTTCTCTGTCCAGCAAAAAGATATCCCTCAAATGCACTTTGTATCACTCTGTCTAGACACAGACAAATTTGCCTTCCTGTTGCATCTGGCTACAGGATTTTACAGTGTAGATTTGCTCACTTTCCAGCTTGCATATTTATCCAAATTTCCAAAATAAAGTCCTGTTCCAGGCCAGGTACTGGGAGAAGGCTCCACTCTAGAACTCTTTTTGACTAGAATACAGAAAGGGGAATTCCTGCCTCTGACATGCTGACACTGGTGTTTCTAAGGCCATTTTGTTCCTCCATTCATTGACTTTTAATTCTATACTCTCATGGAATTTTTGCTTTCACTGATACAATAAAATTAACTACTGTGAGTGTAGAGGTGGTCTTAGGCAGTTCCCCCTTAGTTTCCAGCTGGCTCTATCTAAAATCATAATTAAAAGAATACAGTTAACTCAGAAAGTAAGTCTCCAAATCTTGACTGAAAACATGTGGCCCCAAAATGTAGATGAAAAATGAGCAAACATCTGCATTATCATACTGTTTACCAAATGCTGGAATCAAAGTACAATCTATGCACTATTTCCTCTTTCTGTAGCCAAAAAGTCTGCTTAGTTATTACACAATATAGCAAAAACCTGATAGCATATTATTTAACACTGAGTATTCTCATTCAGCTAATGATTATTTACATCATTTATAACCAGAAAAAAAAAAAATCCTAAGCTAACTAGGAGGATCTTTTCTTTAGTTTCAGACTCATCAATACCTAGAACTTCTGTACCTGTGTGCCTTTTTTGTGTGAAGTAAGTTTCACACAAAACAGTCATGATGCTGCACCACGTACCACAGTGGCTCTGAAACACCCTGCTCGATCTTTTACTTGTAAACACCAAGATAGCACCTGCACAATTCAGAACATTCACATAGTTGCATGGAGCCACAGTACTTGTGACTGTGGTTTAACCTTTTAAAAGAATTGTTTGCTTGGTTCTATTAAAAAACAGAGATAGAGACTCCGAGAGGTTATGACCAATTTTATTCTCATACAGTAAATGTAAAATCCTGAGCACTTTGAAGCATTCCATAATTCAAACAAAGTTTTATTATTTCATGAAATGCAACAACCATCAGAACATCATCTATGTAGATTAACACTTTGTTGTCCTTCTTCTTAGAGCACTAACAACCTGATCTACCAGCACAATACACATTCCTAATGCTCCCTGTTCAATTGAAGTAGGGAATTTCCTCTAATTTTGGCAAATGATATGCTGAGAAACGTTTTAACTCACCACACAGCCATAAATCTGCTTTGTAAATCTTGCACTTTTTGGAAGGCTTATTGCTAAAACTTTTGCTTCAGAAGCACATTTAAGGGGTTTAGATTTAATAAGGTTAAAAACCATCTGAGCATTTTGAGACTACAAAGAAATAATATATCTGTAGTGTCCCTTGCGATAGATTAGAGACAGGACTTGGTTGCAGTAATGAATATAAATGGGATTCTTTATTAAAGCCACTGGACAGAAGCAGGACTGTAGCTCTGCTCTCCAGCTCCCAGGCTAACTGCACACAACCTATGCTTTCTAACAGCACCATGCAAGTCTAGCCTAAATCCTGGCCTAGATTCAGCACTTTTGGAAGGGATTGCCAAACTCCATGAAACCTAACTGCTTAAATTGTTCAGCAGTGGATACAACTTCCACAGCATGCCCTGCCAAGGCTTGCACAATCCCTACATTTGCATGCACGTGAAATAAACAATGAAAAGGCTGGAGATTCTGAAAATGGGAATAGAAATCTTCTCCATGCAAAAAACTGGGTTTTCTTCCCTGCAAGTTTAAAGATAAAAATGGGTCTGGGACTTGAAAGCCTCGATACTCAATTTCTTTAATGCCATTTTAATTACAAAACTAACTTGAACAATAAATGTATGTATACAGTGGAGAGAGGCAGACACCTCTCTGTATGCCATAGCCAACATTACTGACTTTCTCCAGGTGCTGGGGATCCTTTCATGGGGGCTGGACAGGGAAGTTAATGAATGTTTATGGTCTTTGTGCTGAATCCAGAGCATGCTCAAGGCATAGGCAAAGTAGGTAATGGTTATCATCTGCTCTGCTTTGGGCAGAGGAGAAAGGAACTGGATCCTTGACCCTGAAAAGACCATTCCTGTGGATGCAGCTCTTCCTCTTCCTGCCAGGCCAAGGGAAGCTGAAGGCTCGCAGCCCACTGACTGGCAGAGACAGAGCAGAAATGTCCTCTCCATCCCACAGTCTGGTTGCCCTCATCCTGCCAGCCCAAGGCACACAGAGCACATGCAGGGGCTGCAGTGCAGAGCTGGGACAGCCGCACAGTGGAGGAATGGAGTGAGGGAGGATGTTGTTTAGGTTATTAGGTCTCTCCTCCCTCCCCAAGCCTCACTGGCTCCTCTGACCTCCCTGTTCCCACTCTGCAGTCCCATATCTGCCTTCAGTCTGCCCTTTGTCTCTGCTGCCCACCTGCCCCAGCCCAGTGCCACCCTCACACTCTTGCTTCAGGTGGCAGACACAGCCCAGGACCCCTTCCCTTCAGGGGCTGGGCTGCTGCTCATACATTAAACCTACAATCTAGAAATCTCCTTTGAAGCAGGCCCATAATGCCATTTGCAGACCACACTCACCATTAGGGATGCTTTTATCCAAGGAGCAGCAAATACACTGTCTTTTCCCAATATTTTGAGGAGTGGAGGAGAGTGTTTTCTCTGTGCTCAGACAAGCTGACTGGATTCCAGCCTAAGGAGTATCTGCCAGAAACACCAAGATTCCTGCATGAAAAATGGTCTGCTAGAGTCAAACACATTAGACTCAGCTTCAGAAACTTCTCCAGAAAGGGCTATGGCAGACATTCAGGCTGTGGCACAATTTCTGTCAAAGGGGTTGTGACCTCCCTTGTGCCTGCACAGCCGCACACCTTCCTGGGAAAAACCTCCAGAGCCTTCCCCAGCAAAGGACTCGATGGATGGAGAGGCTGTAGGAATGCTTGAAAGGTTTAATATCACAAAATAGGGACATGACTTTCCTATTTAACTGACATGAAGACAATGGGCTTTGGAGGAAAGCATGTGGTGGGGGACATTCAAAGGCCTTTCACTTGTACAGTGCTGACTCCTGGCAGTAGGGTTATCCTACAAAGAGAAAAAAACAAAAAACAAAACAAACAATCAAATCCCGAGACTCTCAAATTAGAGAATGCACATAAAAATGTTGTCATGGGGCTTCTGATATATTCCCATCACCCCCTCCCTCTTCCTCTCCTCTCCAATACCAGTGCTCTAGTGCTACCTTAGCAGAAGAAGCGGGAGGGCGCAGTGTCGGTGTGGGATCTCGGGGTATCGTGAGGTGAAAGGGTGGCACTGCCTTCTGATTTGAAGAGCTAACTTGAGGAAAGCCTATGATCACATCAGTGGGCCACATGTACCAAGTGAGTGTTGCACATGTCAGTATATTAAACATATGTGGTTCTTATTTCCTATGTTAAAGGAATACAGTCTGCAAACATCGGGGGTGTGCTGTTATTTCAAATGAAAGGTAAATGTGGATTAAGGGTATTTCAAGATTCCCATGGTCTAATGACAGTGAATACCTGCAAAATCCAACTTTGATTTTAAAGTTTTCCCAACATTTGAAATGTCTGCCTCACAAATTGGTGTGGGACTTGGTTTCATTTTAAAGGCTCGTGGAAACAACCAGAGCAGCAGGAACAATAACAGCACCCTTTTAGAAAAATACAGGAAATCTTTTCAGCCAGATGCACTGCAGCACTGGGGCCACCATGAAAGTCTTGCAGTTAAAGAAACCTCACAACATCTTCTAGGCAAAAAGGGGATCATCACGTCTCCTAACACTTCATCTTGCATTAGAAATAATTCTTGCTCGAGGAAGCAAAAAAGAGCCAATAAAATGTTCCAACTTCATTCCTTTATTGACTTTTTGTTGCCTTATGTTATTAATAAGAATTTACAACCTAATTTACAGCATAAGGTTTTAGCATGGACTATGCTTGTATGCAATTTGAATTTTAAAAAACTTTGGGGCATCACGAATCTGACAAGATCTTTTAAGAATTAATAGAGTTTTGGCTGGGGCCAGATTTTGTAAAAAGGTCTCTAAACTCGACCTTTGTACTTTCGTGTGAGAGGAAGTAGGATCTCCTGGGCATCTTATGATTGGGGGTTTGGGATATGAAAATGAGGGATTTGCATGCTGCAAACATTGCTCATGGCAGGGTGCAGGTAAAGAGCAAGGGGCCAGCCGCTTTGAAACAGAATTCCTGATTTGCAGGCCCCATGAACGCACTTTCAAATGCCAATTTGGTAGGTGGGAAGGCTGTAGGGAGGCTTGGGAGAATGAATATCAGTGAATAATAACATTATCGCTTTATTACTTATCTGACAGGGCCATGAAGACAATGATATTTGAAGCAGTGAATGTGGTGGAAGACATTCAGAAGCCTTTTTTTACTTGTACTCTGTTGACTCTTGGTAGGGTTATTCTGAAAAGCAAAAAAAAAAAAACCAACAAACAAACAACAGTCAGAAAAAAAACCCCAACCCAGCAGCCAAAACCTGAGGCTCCTAAATTAGAGAATAGACATTAAAATGTTGGCCAGAGGCTTCTGATTTGTATATTCCCATCTCCCTCTCCCTCACTCTTTCCTCTCCAATACTAGTGCTGTATTGAGTTGGAAGCGTATAAATGTTACATGTAAGATGCAGCCTTACTGTTGCATCTTTATTCAACATCAACTTCCAGATGGGAACTATTTTTCATGGTTCATAAAGCCAAATCCAGCTGCTACATTTGGACCTACATAAGGAATCCACATTTTATTGCCATAGCAGTGCATATAAAACAATTGCTGTTGTTTCTCCAGTACTGGTGCACCTCACGTTTCTCAATACATTTTAGATATTTAAATTTTTAAAACCGTATTTTACAGTTCCTCATTTAGCCGTGCACCGTAACAAGATCCTGCCTTTACAACATTTTCTAGATATCCAACATAACTGAAAGAAAAACCACCGTGGACAAGCGGTATTCAATATAGCAGCCGTATATTCAGTTACTTACTAAGAGTGTTCAGACAATTTCCTATGTAAACCACAATGATATTAAATACTTCTGGAATCTCAGCTTTATTAAGAGACAGGAAGTGCAAACTCAGGAGTCTTTCCCCCTCCCCCTCGGCTAATCTGACTCTTTGATAGTCATGTGTTAGGAATAACCATCCAGTTGCTCCTAAGGAAAAATATTCCCACAGCTAAGGGAGAATTAACCCTTGTGAAACCTCAAAAGGGAGAGTGCAGTCCATGTGTTCACACAGAGAGAAAGAGAAGAAAAAACCCCATTAGGAGGAAGTTTATGCCAGCAGCAGGTCTACACAGCCCTCACCGCCAGCTCTGCCGTGCAGATAATTCATTTGCATTTTGGGTGGTATTGTCAGAGCAGCTCGAGCACACGCAGGGCGGAGGGGCTGATCCGGGCTGGCACAGTGAGGCATCTCTGCGGCTCCCCGGCCGGGCTCTCCGCAGCGCTCTGCCCCAGCAGATGTCAGCCCGTGTGCTGCACAGCAAACAAACCCCCACCCAAAGCGCCGCAGAGGTGGGACACACAGAGTTAATGCACGCCTATGACAGAGAAGCGAGTTTGCTGTGAATTGGGAAGCACAAACTATAGTAATCCCCACCCTGCTGAGTGGCTTCCCCAGAGGTCTGATACAGTGCCAAAGCCTCTTACGCATACTGAGACAAAGCTTATTTCAAGCCGAATTCAGCTCCTGAAGCCACCATACTGCTTCCTGACAGCCTCCAATTGCACTGCCTCTGTATTTGTGTTTCCTGCTGTTTATATTTACTTGTTCCCAGAGCCACAACAGCTACAAAAACAAATAGTTGCTATTTGCAGGGCTCTGTATCAACACAGGTAAAGTGCTTCGCTTCCCTTTTAGTTTTACAAAGATTGTGCAAATAGGCTTTTAATACCTCAGAGAGATTAATTTGGTAATTATAAACCAGTTTAGGAACAAATGCCAAACAATTGGTCACATAATCAGCATCCTTGTTTCAGAGTATTAGCGCGGCTGAGGCAAAAGGTTTTTAAACCGTAAGGACTGCACAAACACTCCCTTGATTATATTGCTATTATTTCCCCGTTCCACTGAGACACAAGCTTGAAATATCACTTTTTTGTTTGTCAAGTCCCCGTGGATGCTCTCTGGATCTGTGCTCCTGTCTCTTTGGCCCCTGTGCAGCTATTGTGACGGAGTCTGATTTGGGTAATGGAGATCTTGTTTGATATATTTATTTAAAGAATCAGCTTAAGGAAGCCTGAGAGCCATCAATTCTCTTAATTAACTGCAGAGAAATGATTAATGCTATAAATGTGGAATTGATCAGGATAAAATTATAGTACACAGGATTTAATATGAGTTGTTCCACCAATATTTAAGACATTAAATATGATAAATCTGGTTCTGGGTAAAGTGTTCATAAATGCTCAAGTTATTTATGCACCTCAGAAAATTCCCACCACAAACCACCAGGGCTATTAGGCTTCTGAATGGAGGGGGGTAGTGCTTTTCAGGTAGAAGGAGTTGCTTTCTCAAAATAAAAAACTCCTCGAGGAATAGGTCCATTTCAGCTGCACTGCACTTCCTAAACCAAACCAGAAAAGTTTCAAAGCATTTTATTCTGGTCTTATCTAAAAAGAACACTTTCATTTGGAAACAGTTCAACTTAAAATTAATTTTTTTTCATGCACATTGATGTTGTCTCACCTTTCAGCATCTTTCTCACCACAAGAAGAATTAAAAGCTGGGCCAAAGAATTCAGTGCCATGGTAATGTCAGTGACTTTTATAGACATCTAGAAGACAGTACTTTTAGAGCTCAAGCATGCAGCATCAGAGACAGAAGTTTCTTGGTTTTTTCTTTCTTTTTATAATAACTAGTCTCACAATTCTTCCTGTCCCCACTTCCCCCAGTCCCTGGAGAATGAGAGTTATGGAAATAACAACTCCTGAGACCATTTCCCAAGAACTCTGTGCTTTGGTCCACAAGAAATGCAATGCCAGATCCACCCACATCCGACAAGCAAGACATCCTGGAGCAGTTTTAGGAGGAGATGTTAGAGAGATAGAAATGTCACTGTATTCATGCAAAGAGCATGGATCCACACATGGAAGGCTCAGCTCCCTCCCCAGGGAAGCTGTGTGAACTTTGCCCAATCTTTTCCCTGCATTTGCTTTCCCCTCAGGATTAGTCACCACCCAGCACAGGGTGGGAAGATCTGTCAGAGGTCACTCTCCCTCTGGACAGCAGTGGGGAGCTCTGTGGCTCTCAGAGCCTGTCCATGACCCACTCACCCACCACTGCAGGCTCAGCAGGGACAGAGGGGCCCACCAGGAAAGACTTGGCTGCCTCGGGAATGGATACACAAAGGGCTGAGTCTCTGCCTCTGCCCAGGGCTGCTACCCACCACAGCACAGGTGGAAGGGACCACAGAGGTGACCAAAAGTTTTGGGGACACTGACACATGCCCCCTTAAGTGGCATGAAGAAATAAGAAAATCTGAGAATTTTTCCAGTCTCATGAATAGATCCCCTGAGGTATTGGGGGAGTCAGATGTATTGGCTGGTAGCATGAGACACAGATGGGCTGAAAGGGGAAGACTCAAAAGAGGGAAGAGACTGAGCACACAAGGGAAAGCAGCAGCTCACCTGAGCCCCTGGCTGGGGCCCTGGATGAGAGTGAATGGATTGTGTATTACAGTGTGCCACGAGCTCGATATTGCAGGGAGGACAGTTGTACAATGAAACGCTCAAAATCCATTTAAATGGCACATTTAAATAGTCTGAATTCAGGCACTTAAGAGAGCGAGCCTGTCTTCAGAACACTACAGAACTAGGGCTCCCAGGGCTCCCTGACATCTCAGCAGCTAACACACTCCAAGCAGAAAGCCATCTGTTAGGGACTGCTCTCCATCCGTGCTTCGCTGTCTCCGTGACCCCGCGCCGTGGAGAGGGGCACTCAGAGAGGACAAGCAGCGGCAGTGGGGTGCCACGCACACGGCGGTACCACGCCTTCCAGTGGCCCCTGAAATCGAGGTGCTCAAGATTTCATTCCTCCATTGGATCCTCAGGCTTTTTATAATTTCAGGGATGAGACCAATTTAATTTTTATAGAGATGTGTAATCCGCCATTTCAACACGCTAATTGAAATAGGCTGACACGCAGCTATGTGCCCTACGAGCCTTCCAAAGCACATATCTTGGCACTTTCCACCAGAGGCTGAATGACATGACTGGAAACCGTACCAGATCCTCTGTGTTTACAGGCCTCTGCTTCTACATTATTATTTTGATTGCTGGCTTTACCGACAAACATCCATGAGGCAGAATCCACTTGGAGAAAATAATAGAAAGCAGAGCTGAAACAGATTTTAAAAGGTCAAAAATCAACTGTACCTGTGCTATTTTTGACAGTTGTTTATTTAACCACTTTGTAAAGTCCTTCAGCTGTGGAAATGCATGCATTTTCCCAATGCCATCTGACCTGTTCTTTAATCATGACTATTATAACACCTAAGCTAAATTTTTCTTCGAGTAATCTTTTATATTTTCTTATCAATTCAGGAGGGAAAATGTTAATTAATTTCTTTCCTATCTTCAGCAAAATTTGGTACAGATTTTTTAAGGTATTTGAACATTTTTAAGCTCCCTTCTGTACTCTGTAAACAGCCCTCATCTTTCAAATTTCTCTGGTTCTGACCACTTAGCTCTGGATTCTCTCCTTTCCTTCATGTCTTTTTTGGAAAGTAATGTCCAAAGCATGCCCATGCTGAGGAAGGTAGAATGATGTAGTTACATTCATTAAAAAAAAAATCTCAGAAGTACGTTTTTCTTTTTGGATAATATTTACTCTAATCACTTCTCCAATCTGATTTCCAGTTCCACTCTCCAACATACCTGCAGTTTTCTCAGACTCACGTTCCTTGTGGTTGTAAGGAGTACAATTGGTTCTTACACCCAGGGCACTACTGACACTAATCAGTGGGCACAGATCACAGCACAGGATCCTCCTGGGTGCACATTTCCATTTGAACAGTCTCTCATTGATAACCAATCTCCAAATATATTTTTCCAATCAGGAAAATACCCATCTTTTGGAAGGTTTCATCAAAACTATGTTTTCTTACCTTTTTTTGTGAATTTATCAAGAGTTACGGAGAGAAAGAGAGTTTAAACGGGGTTTGAGGTATTTGCAATTTTTCCAGTAAGACATTTAATAATTCTTGATGAGGCCTATGTGCCTAGTGAAACAGTCTGAGAAGTCTGGCTTAAAGCCAAGTTCCCCAGTCATGTCACTGGACCAGTAGTGCTGCTAAGAATATCCCCACGACTCCAAGTGACAAGACACTGTCACTGACCCACGGAAACTGACTCATACCCTGAACTTGTCCCATCCCATCTTTTCTCTTACTATTACTCTTCA